ATTTTCGATGTATCTCTTTCTCCTCATTTCATGCATTTGGAAGCTCTGTGATCAGGTTCATAACTGTGAGGATTTGTATATGCCCCAGGTAAACCGACCTCTTTCCCACGGTGAACTTTATCGCCTTTGCTCTGAAAGCTCCTCTAATTTTCACGTGGCTGCCCCGGCTTTCTTTAGACTGGCGTGAGCATGCATATCTCCTTCCATCCTTTTATTTTTAGCCCGTTTGTGTCTCTCCATTTAAAGTGAGTCTCTTGTAGGCAGCATATACTTGGGTCTTGCTTTTGTATTCAATCTCACAGTCTCTGCCTTGCAGTTCGAGGGTTTAGGTCATTAATGCTTAATGTGGTCTTTGGCAAAGGAGCCTGGTGGTGCAGTGGTTAAACACCTGGCTCCTAACCGAAAGGTCAGCAGTTCAAACCCTGTACCACTGTGCAGGAAAAAAGATGAGGCAGCTTGCTTCTGCAAAGCTTTACAGCCCTGGAAACCCTACTGAGCAGTCCTCCTCTGTCCTGTAGTGTCGCTGGCAGTCAGAAGTGATGGCGATGAGTGATCTCTGATATGGGTCAGTTTAATTTTATCATCTGGCTATTTATTTTCTGTTTGTCTTATCGGTTCTTTGTTCCACTTTCTCCCTTTGGATTAATTTGCTTCATTGACTTTCCTGATGATAAATTCTATGTATTCCATATATTTTTTATGATTCTACTTCATCTCCTTTCTTTGGCTTATTAACCGTAACTGTTGAGTTATTGAGTGGATACAGACACTGGTGTGGCCCTGTGAGAGCTGTGTACGCTCCCTTGATCTTGGGGTCCTCCTTTTCCTGCTGTTGGGCAGGCAGTCTCCTCCCGGGCGCATGCTGATCTGAGTCCTGCTGATACTTAAAGGAGATTCTCTGAAGAGCCTCTGGTCCTCTTTCTGTGCTGCTCTCTCTTCTGTGTTCTTGGTCCTGTGATTTCCAGCTGCCTTGGCCTCCCAACAGCTCTGGTGGCGCAGTGCCTAAGGCACCTGACTGCTAACCAGAAGGCTGGCAGTTCAAACCC